CACACACACACACACACACACACACACACACACACATATAATTTTTTAAGTCAATCACACAAAGTTTATTAAAGACTTTTATGTCTTTTTGCTACCACCCCCACATTCCCCATCTATTTTAAATTGGTGTGATCCCGTTCAGGCGATCCCTGGAGTGCCCCTAAACCCCTCCAGAACCACGTCAGAAAACATCAGAGGAGCGGCGGAAAATGAAATAATAAACGGAACATAACACAGCAACCAATATCCCATCAAAGGAGCTGCTGAGGATATTAATATCGACGCTGAATGGAAAATGAGGCACTTAGACATACAAATCGGGCTGGCAAATTTGCATAAAAACAAGATTAGCATATGCACTGACAGGGAGGAAAAATGTTCCTCTGGCTTTTTTCTTTTTGGAATTGGTGGAACTAGTGGGGGTCTGAGATGCATCAGTAAACACCGAGTCTTTACTCACATGTAGTATATATTCTGTGCCACATACTTTACAGAGGAGTCACTGATAAAGCTCTCACGAACATGCATACAAAAAGCTGAAAGAACTGAACTTAAAACAAAAAACAAACTTAAGTAAGGCCAAAATGTACTTTACTTTATGTGGTCAACTTTGGGTAAAAGGCTAGAATCTGTTATTATCAACTACGGCTAGGTTCATTTAGCTACCTTCACTGTATACGTAAAAGCGATGCTAATATGAGCTAGCAGTAAACTGAAGTGTACTGACCAGAAAACATGAATAGTGTCCCTTACTATTACTGTATGTAGGTGGTAAGTCGTATTTAAGTTTTAATTTTTTAAAAAATGGTAACTTCAAATATTATAGTTTTTTTATTAAATAAAAAAAATGTCAGACAGTATCAAATCCCGTTTCCTGGGATAGTACACTTGTTGTGCATGGGCCTAAACAAAACCCCCCCTCCAGAACACCATCCCAGACGGCCTTAAGCATGGAACTAAATCTATATAAAAAGGAAAGAAAGAAAGAAAGAAAGAAAGAAAGAAAGAAAGAAAGAAAGAAAGAAAGAAAGAAAGAAAGAAACTGGCTACAGTGGAGAGAGGATGCCCGTAAAGGAGGGTGTGCTGACTGTACTTTTGTTAGAGTCAGCAGTTCGATCTCAGTATCGATAGTATCATTATCAACACTGGTATGGGTATAGGATAAATACTAGAATGACAGTATCGATACTTCGTAAGCGCAGTATGAAGTCTAGTGAATTGTGTTCAATAAAAAATATATTTAGTTGGTAAGGGATCAACACCAAAATTTGCAGTATGGCACAACACTTTTCACTCAGCATTAGCAGTGGATTAGGGGAGGGGCCGTCAAGAGGGGCCATCGAGAGAGATACAGGTCATACAGGGTTTCACCTCTGTTCTAATCAGGCAAATCAAACCAATGCAGGACAGGCAGAAATTCATAATTCCATCTAGTCAACATTAAAGCCTGGCAATCAAAGCAAAACAGAATTGGCATTGTTCAGTAGCAGCTGTGTACACTTATTCTTTCAGTGACTTCATCCAGCTTGATTGAGCAGTTTTGTGTTGCTAAAAAAAAGGGAAAAAAAGAAGAAAAAACCTCAAAGTCTTCATTTCGTTGCTGCAGTTTTGCAGAAAGCAGATAGAGCCGACTGCACCCACCCACTCTTGTAGTACGCATATGAAAATGTAATTTCAGTGGTATTTTGGAGGTGTCACTGCAAATTATGAGACCAATTTCAATGAAAGTAAAGAAAAAACAAACAAAAGAGAAAGAAATCCTCGCTTGTACTCCAGCTTTTGAACATTTTTCTTGCTTGCCACTGAAATGTGAGCACAGATTATTTTGCACGGAATGAGTTCAACATTTGCTTCGACAGGCTTAGTTTCCTCTGCAAAATTAAAACATTTTCAAAAGTTTGCCTGCTCTTTATGCTCTGAAAGATCAACTTGGTGATACATATAGACAAGAAAAAGGGAAAGGAAAGAAATGAAGAGTGGAAGAGCAGAGGAGAGCTAAAGATAGAGAGCCCAGGAAGTATTAACTTCAGTGATGTGGCAGGTCTAATAGATTGGGTGACATCAAACTCAAGGCTGTCAGTCTGTCTCGCTTTCTCAAACACACACACACACACACACACACACACACACACACACACACACACACACACACACACACACACACACACAACCACAGAATCTCCTTTTCTCTTTCTCCCTCTTCCAGCTTTGCCTGCATTGTGAACTGAAATGACACAGTGGCGTTCTCCTTCTGTTCAGCTAAACCGCGGTTACATGTGTTTTGGCCTTGCGTGTGTCCGTGTTGTGAGTATACTGCCTACCTTCCTCACACTGTCATTATTTTCTTCTGTTTTCTTAACACTTTTGTGAAAGGAAAAGAAGGAAGAAAAATAGAAACAAACCGCTACATGGTTGAGTGAGGTTGGGTTAAAGCTACATTTTTTGCTGTACCAAACAAAGGCGGTGGGTGTATGCGGCACTGAAGAGAGAGGACACCAACCAGTTTTTTTACTAGCATTTGTACAAAAAAAGACTCAAAATAGATAAAAAGTCATAGTGTGAAGTCCATGTCGTGTTTATCTACTGTGTAAAGCTGAGCATCAGACAAATGGCACTCAGAGAAAGAATTAACGCACCGCATTCTCGCTGTGAGCAAAAATAAAACAGTCAGGAGAAGTGAATGAGGCGCTGGTCAAAGGCAGCCGGTTAACGCACCTGAGCCTGTGATTCCGGGTTCACCTGGGCAAGAGGCCGTGTTGTTGCACATGCGTGTTTCCCGCAGGGCACCGCTGCACAGTGTCCCATAGGGAGAAGAAACACACGATCGGGTCCTCACTTGCCAGCCCTGCCCACATGTCAGAGAACACACACTCCACTGCGACCATTCCTCCGCTGCTGGGTCACCTAAGGAGCAAGATGGACATGAACATGGAGAGGATAGTTATATACGCACAGTGTTTTTAATGATCCTGAGAGTCAGATGCGCGGCTAAGGTTGAATAACAAGAGAAATCATTCTTTCCTTTTATCACTTGGTCAAATAAAACACATTTGTAACAAGACTGCACTTTATTATCTCACAGCTTAATTTGGTGCCTTCACACGGATGTACTGCTGAAGTCTCCAAATTTCAGCCAATTTCCAAGTGGTCTTGGTAACCCCACGCCACCCCACTTTCTACAAAAAAACCCCTGCCTGCTCTGTAGGAGTGTCATGATTCTGGTGTCTCCTCAGGTTAAACAGAAAAGAGACGAGGAAGAAGATGATCTCAGCTCTGCAGCTCAAAGTTTATACTGCTATGTAAAAGTGGCTCGTAATGCAAAAAGCCAACAAAAAAAGGAAAAGAAAAATGATTTCCATAAAGGGTAATTACAATAAATTCCTCGCTTTATAACGGAGTCCTAAAATGTCCCAACAAATGGAGCAGACAGAAACTATTACTGGAGATGTGTGACAATTTTCAAGTATATTTTCGCTTCCAGTTTTCACAGAAGCACCACCAGCATTAAAAGATGTTTGCTTTATTGATTGCTGTTTAGCGGCTCTCGGATTCCTCTGCTCTTCTGTTTACCGTAAAAAAATGAAAAAAAAACAAACAAAAAAAACCCATCAAAATCTGCTTTTGGAAAGCAGTGACACCGGTGCAACATCACAACAAAAAAAGACAAACAAAATTGTAACCTATGCAATTAACAAGGAGTAAAAAAAGAAACTTTTGGGAATGTGTGACAGGTGATGAAAGTGACACGATGTAGCTTTTTTTCTTTACTTATTCACACTAAGAGTGTTATTGTAAATAAATCTTGACGGGATATTAATGAAGATGATGATCATGCTACAGGAAAGTTTTTTTTAAAGGTGATTCAATTAATTAATGGAATTATGGTAACACGTATGATCTCACCGCTAAAGGCCTTTAAGTCTCAAAGCAATTCTGTGTGTGTGTGTTTGTGTGTGTACATATTCGACTCTGTGTTGTAAGCACCCGTATGAGATTAGGTGTTTAGACTTGATGGAGTCTAATTTGGAGTTCTCCAGGCAGCTGTGGAGAGGGTCCCATTGTTCCACTGAGCTACGCCCTTGAAAGCGAAAACGAGGAGCCAAGTCCCTCCACTTCTCTCTTTGTAAATTGTTTATGAGCGCCGTGTCCTTTGATGGAGGCGTCATCACATGGCAAAGAAGGAAATCAAATTAATTGCATGTCCGTTAATCGCATTACATCTTCATTAACATGCTGTGAGTCAGGGCTTAAGCTCATCACAGATGCCTAGAGGACTAGAAGAATGGGGGAAGAAGCAAGGAAGGGGAGGGGTAGACAGGGTAGGATGAGGACAAGATAGACCCAGGGGTTTCCCTCCTATTAAGGGACTTCCTCCTCTACGCCATATATATGAATATGGAAATGCATGTGCATGCAACATGGAATATCTTGTATGTTTAAGGCCGATTCGTATTATATTATATATACATACATGCATGTGACATTCTCATGGTTAATAGATCAGTCTTTGAATAATTTACTCTTTTTTTTCCCAGTCCTTTCCATTTTTTCCAAGTTTCACACGCCGACTCAAAAATTTCACACTTTCACAAACTCACACAAGTGAATGATTAAAGGTGGCAGCTGCCCTAGGTTTGCTCACCGAAAAGGAAAAGGTACACCTTACATAATTATTCATAAAACTGTTTTATAGAAAACTGAGGATTTTCAGTGGGACATACAGCCTGTAAAGGTCAGGTTGTCTTCTTTCGTTCCAGGCTCTGGGCACCATTGCACACTCATAATACTCACCTGTTTGTGCCTGAAACACACCTGGCTGGTCAGCTGATCGTGGTCTTTGGGTCTTCACCTTCAGGTCGTCATCATACGGGTCTGAAAAAAATAACAGACATTTTTTTTTCATTTTAATCTTAACTTCCTTTTGATTACATGGTACCGCTCAAAATATATGAGGGCTCCATGGGTTGCATGGGCAAATCAAACCTGAATTTAAAAGCTGTCGTAAATAAGCGCTCATCACCATCCACATTTCACTTTTATGTTCAGGAAAAGTAAAAAAAAAATACAGGAAAGCTCAAGTACATCCAAAACACGACTCTGGCAAAATAAAAGTACAAACGCCTACATTTCCTTGGCTTAGTCCTTGTAGCAGGAAATTTAAAGAACATGACGAGACGTTTTAGCACACGCAGCGCGGTAACAGATAACAGACTGTCAAATCTAGTGTATAATCTCAGAAAATCAGGAGGAAGCAAATTTGGACTGGCTCATTAGAGGGGAACATTAGGAGGGGAAAACATGAAAAAAAGAAGAAGCATATCTTCTTTTGAACGCATGCTGATGGTTCAGCGTAGCAAACCAAGTAAATAAAAGTTCTGGCTTGGAGATGAGACTCCACACACACATATAAAATGCACCAGCGGGACATGATCTAACAAATATGCGAACATCTCACATAAGCGGTGAGCATTTCTGGAAATGGCATTAAGTCAGTCTCTCAGAGTTAGTGAAATCACACAACATATCTAAGTCAGTTTCATCTCAGCTGGTAGAAACGTGGAGGCATGCGTACAGGCCGTTCTGTCTGGTTCAAATGGATTTGTAGGCTTAGTTTCACCAATGCAAGTCTTAATCAACTCCCTCGGCGGGGGGAAACAATCTTTTCTTTCAGAGATCTTTTTTTTTCTCCATCTGGATTCTTCTTACCCAATGGGATCTTTTTTGCAGCAGCTGCATTTATGGAAAAGGAGCTGACACACGTGGCGTATCTAAGGTACATTATCTGCACGGAATGTGATTGTGTGTCTGCGTATTCGATTACAGAGAGCAAAAGTGAAATTTCCTCGCGTTAGCCTCCATCAAGCAGTTGACCCAAGGAAAAACAGAGACGTTGCATATCCTCCCTATCCAGCACACACGCACACACTCACACATGCAAGTGTGAATGCCTGGGAAGTGTGTTGAGGCTCTGCCATGATTGCACAAACGCCCATTGCTACCAGCCCTTTAATTTGGCCTTTTAGAGAATCAACTCTTTGGTGGGGGGAAAAAACTCTTTACCCGTTTGCTCGTTTTCTGCATTGTTCTCAACGTGATCAACAAAAGACCTTTTTTTTTTTTAACCAATGGAAAAAAAGTAATAATCCTGTTTACGTGCTGTCTGCGCTGTTGCAGGTTACAGCCGTGGGTAAAATAAATAACTGTTGTGCACATGTGTGGTCTGTTTGTTTACTTTTAAAAGAAACTAAAATGAGCAAATGGTGCACCGGGAAAGTATTTAATAAGACAATTAACAGATTTCATTTTCATCTAATTGAATCATTTCTTTAAAAACAAATCACATGTCAGCATTGCATCAGATTAGACAATCAAGCACAGAACGGAGATGCACATGCCAGCATGCCCAGGGATTTGAAGGAGTTTTCATTACGCAATCTTTCTCGGGTCAGCTCGTGGTACAGACGTCCACTTACTTAGCTGCAGGTTTTACAGTCATATTTTACACGGAAAATGTGAGACCTTGAGCGAGCGTATCGTGCTCCCAGAAATTTATGGCTTGCTTTGCCACAGTCCTGGGCTTTATTGACTGTACTCATCATTGACGCTACACTAAGATTAGTCATCCTCCTAAACAAGCAGCATTCATTAGCTGAAATATGGCGTCAAAAGGTAGCTTTTTCACTGCTCTTTTAGTTTTACTCTCGAACTCAAGCTTGACTCATTGTTAGATTCCTTGAAACTGCAGCCTGGGAGACAAAAGATTCAGCAAGGGTTGAAGAAAATGTCTACACTACCTGACACCGTTGTTGGTAAGAAAGCACCCGTGGTTTCCGTATTATTTGCATCCAATTCAATTCAGTTTTGTTTACTTAGTGACAAATGACAAAAACAGTCACCTCGTGGTGCTTTATATTGTAAGGTAAAGACTCTAGAACATTAATTGGCCAAGTTAAACAAAGTGTGTTAAGAAGGTGTGTTTGTTAAGGCCACCCACCCCTATATGTTCTCATCCCACATTCATCAGTGACTTTAGGGTAAAATCTGAGTGAAGCTGAATGATCTATGATATTCTATAACAGGAAACAATCAAATCATCTGCCTCGATGCATACCACTTTAACTGGACAGTCTAGATTTTTTTTAAATTGAACTTTAAGTATTTCAGAAAGTATGTAGAGTTAGTTTGAGCCCAATCCTGGTCCAGAGCATATTAAGCCCAGTAAGTGCTCGAGGTCAGTGAAGCAGGACAGAAGAGTAAGGTCTCAAAATCTTTATCACCTTACTTGAGTGTATAGTTCTTTACAGAGACTGTACACTCAAGTTTGCTTCCCTCAATGCACAGATTTGTCTTCTTTTAGTTTGTCCACTTGTCTCTTTGGACATAGGTAGGGAAGTAAAATTTATTTATATAGCACTTTTTATAGATAAAAATCACAAAGTGCTTGACAATAAAAAAAAAATTATGTGACAGTTGGTTCCCTCATGTAAGACACTGTTATGAAGATGTTGCAAGATGAGCATGTGGGAAAAAAAGTGTGTAGACAGTGTTGGGGAGTAACAGAATATATGTACCGGTGTTACGTATTTAAAATAGAAAATATGAGTAACTTTATTCCGTTACAGTTAACGCTGGAATAGGTGATAATTAGAATACAGTTAATTTATTGAAATAAATGGATTACACTGCGGTCTTTTCCTTTTTCATATGTTAGGCTATCCCCTTTCAGATTTAGGTAATTCCACGCATTGCCGGAAACCCAAGGAAACACACAATAAGAGGCTCTAACGTAAGCGTCCTGTTAATGTTGGTGGCATCAGTTACACAATGGACACGGAGCCAGCACAACAGAACCATTAGTCCACAGGCAGGAATGCATTTCTTACTTGGAAATTTCGACACCACTTCACATTTAAAGAAGAAAGGGATAGGTGAAATCTGACCGTGCAACGCAAACTCTGTTTGCCAGCAAACAAGCTGCTCTCAGCGTCAAAAGACTCCACCTTCAACCTAAAGAAACATCTGGAAGTAAGTTCTTTTTTAAAAACTAATGTTAGCCTACTGCAACTCCCTTGTTTCAGTTGTGGTAGCTACCTGGGTTATGTGCCACCTCAATATCTTTGATGTACTATTGTTGTGTGATTTATTACTATTACTGCATTACAACCTGCTGGCTGCAAATAATCATGTGCAGTTCTGAAAGCAGACAAAAAGAAAACATATAACTGAACTGAAAATAAATATGGCAACAACGAACTATGGAATTTTAATGAGACATGGCAAAGTTGAAGGAGTCACCGAGTTTGTGAACCAGTGAGTGAACAAGACAGTCGTGGTGCGCTTCCACTGGGGTGCTGAAGTGTTGCTGTGCTTCCTAGCACTGGACACATGATGGACAAGCCATTAGAAAGTGATGATAGATGGTTGACAGTTGCTGTCCCTCTCCTTCTTCTTATGATTGGTGCATGCCGCTTGAAGTCTTCTCCCAGACTTCAAAACTAAATGAATATAGCGACTCGCTTACAAACTTTCTTCATCCATCTTCTTCTGCTTAACCAATTCTTATCCGGAGGTGGGTGGCTGTCCCAGCTGTCATGGGCCAAGAGGCAGAGTACACCCTGAAGAAATCACCAATCTGTTGTAGGGCTAAACACATCAAGACAAACAACCATTCACGCTCACTTAGACTCACCAATTAATGAACCCCATTCATCACTTTGGACTGTGGGAGGAAGCCTGAGAGCCCCTCATGCAAACTCCACATAGAAAGGTCTTTTGCATTGACAACAGATAGTTTTAGAGTTTTTCACAAGTTAACGGAGGTGTAGCGTAGTAGACCCAACACCCCTAGTTCCCTTGAAGCAGCCTACACTTCAGCTTCATGTAAATGAAGAACTGGCAAAATGCAACGTCGTGCAACCAGAATGCATTAGCATGTGCTACGTCCCTGGTCAAGAGGTAACCTACACACAAAATTACTCGGGACTTCCCACTCTTCACCACACCAAAGGAAGAGTCAACCAGGTCCAAGATACTGAACAGCAGTTTATCTGCACATAAACTCACACACACACAAATCAACACGAGGCCCGATTTACGCCCAAACTGGAAAATTGGCGTTGTTTCATTGCACATACATTTCAAATGATCATGTTTTTTTTCATCCTCCATGTTCTTCTCTAATTTTCAAATCTTCCAACTCCCACACCAGAGGTTCACGGTCTGTCTTTTTGCCTTACAGCCCCTCTCCCTCTGTCTGTGGCCTTTTTCTCTCTCGGTTCTATAACAAGATGAGAATTTAGAAGCATGTTAGAAGGATCGATGTGAGATGAGCTTTGGCCCCCCGCGAGATGAGCGGTGACCAAAACAATAAACAAAAACTTCCAAAGACCCTCCTACTCTTCCGTAACCAAAGTGAAAAGGCAAGCAAATGAGTCCTCTAACCTGAGCACCTAAGCACAAAAACATGAAAAATAATTCTCAATAAAAAGGGTTTTTACTGGTTACAAAGACTATTTTTTGCCAGCAGCTCACAACTAACAGCACAAATATCGGATTTCACTCTCTCAACTCTCGGATTGAAGTTTGAATTCCCAATTATGCTACCTAAACAAAACTCCCCGTTCAAATACCAAACTATCTGCTGGCTCACTGATAGATAGGGAAGAGGGGAGGAGAGAAGGGTGAAGTGGAGTTCAAGAGGGTGTAAACAAATATTACACATGACCATGGATCATGACACATGGATGCCTACACATAGACAACAAACGAGAAGCGTGGAATTGACAGATCCGATGGGGTTGACCATTAAGCGGGGGCATCTCTCGCTCGTGACCACTGAGCCATTAGCGCTATATCGTTCTCATGACTGATTG